TTTTGTTGTTGTTGTTGTTGTTGTTGTTATTATTATTGTTTTTCATATTCACTGCTGTCACCAGCTTTGCTGGGTTGCTTTAAGCCCTCACACAGGGGCAAACAATGATCCTAGGTATGAGGGCTGTTTGTGGTTTGGGTGGCCGGGTGGTGGTTATTTCACTCCCCCTTGGGGGGTGGCTCGTCACGGACTAGGATACCTGTTTTAGGAACCGAGGCAGGGTAGGTGTCTGGAGGACGCCTGCCTAAAGGTTTCTTTCCTGAGGTGGTAGGCGGTAGGGGTGTTTTTGGTGTGTGGGAACGTTCTAGGTGTATTCGCGTTGCTCCACCTAGCTTAAGACCTTCCGGAGGATTCTGGCAGTGCCTAACACAGCAGACTTCTGGGCCAATACTAGCGAATGTTTCCCAGGGATTTCGTTCTTCAGTTTAGTCCAGTCTTTAGAGACTGCTCCGGTAGCTCCTATCACAAAGGGTATGACTCCCCAAGTAGCATTTTGCAACGAAAAAATTGCAATTTAAATGAAATAAAATTTCCAGATGATTTCAACTTTCTTGCAAGAAAATTGCAATTATTTTACAACATCTGACCCCCTCATTGTAAAAAAGTTGCAATTTTTTTTTTGCAAAGAAATTTCAATATTGACGACCTTTAAATTTCAACCCCTAAATTTCCCGGGGAAATTATAATAATTCGAACCCATGCTTACCTAATGTCCTACGACGTTTAGCAGCATAAAATACCGGACGCCCTTGAGTGGGCTTGAACTCGACCTGCGAAAGTCACAGCGGAGCACTCTTCCACTGAGCTACAGGGAGCTGATGATGAGCTGGGTAGAAATCACGCCTCTTAAGGCTGTTATCGCATGCATTGCGTCAGTGCGTGGCTTAACATTCATCATAGATTTTACTAACGCCGTTTTTCTCAGGCTTCTTTCTTTTGCCTATTATTTATTTTTTTTCGTGTTATTTATTTTTTTCATATTTTTTTTGTCTGATTTTTTTTTTCGATATCACGTAATAGGTACTCACACTAAATTTACACCGGTGTAAATTACACCACATACTAACTTGAGAACTTAAAAATATTTTCAAAAAAGATTTTTAAAATATTTTCAAAACTTTCTTAAGGAATATTTTTAACATGCATGTTTACAGGCAATATTTTTGAATTATTTTAAAAATATTTTTTGTAAACATTTTCAAAATATTCCTTTAAAATGTTTTAAAAATATTTTGAAAATATTTTAATTACAATATTGCCATGAAAATATTTTGATAAAGGTGACAATATTTTCAAAATATGTTGGGCTATAAGGGTTAGGTGAGACATTTAAGTCGAAAAAACTTTAAAACAACTAGAGAATTGGATGCCAGGCACATGGCGTGAATTTGTTACAACATGATTGCACCGAAATTGCAGTCTTTATAGTGCCTTGAAAAAGGAGGTTAGGCAACAAGCATAATCTACATTTCTTGCAAACTTATTGCAATAAAATTGCAACTTTTTAAGCGCCTTCAAATGAACGTATAGGCAACAAGCAAAAATTGCAATCAACTCACAATCCATTGCAATGAAATTGCAATCCATGCTACTTGGGGGGTTTTGGTCTTCCACATCCTGCTGATTTCGATCTCTAGGTCTTTATACTTTAGTTATCGATCTCTAGGTCTTTATACTTTAGTTTTTATTATTTTTATTATTATTATTATTATTATTATTATTATTATTATTATTATTATTATTATTATTATTATTATTATTATTATTATTATTATTATTATTATTATCATTATTATTATTATTATTATTATTATTATTATTATTATTATTACAGCTATGAAAATTCATATAACAAAAGTGACAAAAGAGGCTCTGGATCAGCTAGGTGGCTACAAGACGGAGCTGCGCGGTGAAATGGACGTCAAAGGAAAAGGTTTCATGGAGACTTACTGGTTGACAGGGAAGGAAGGTTTCAGTAGGAGCAAAGAATCCTTAGTCGACGTTAAGTATTCCTCCCTCACACCAATGCTACCGGAGTTTTTCCAGATCATCGATACTGTTGTAAACGATTGATTTTTGTTAACTATGTACCAAGAAACTGCAAAGATGGGTATCCTCTCATCGTTCGAAACTACAAGCAATAAATATAGTTAATCCTTAGGTAATTTAGGAGAGGGTGGGGCCAAGTGAATGAATTTTTTTCTCTAAGCCAGGTACGAGCTACAGGATCATTCCAAATGTACTCTAAATATTTTTTTTTTTTCAGTTTAGAATATCCTCTGTCGTAATTATATACTCCCACAAAAGAGGCAACAGTATATCTTTAGGCTGGAGAATTATTTTTCGTTAAAAATCCGATTTTTTTAGAAAACCGGTTTTTCAGAAGACTCTGGATGAGAAACGGGGACATATCACTAATAACACGGGTATAAATGAGGGTCCTCCTCGCCGACCGACCGGCTACCGGTCATAAAACAAGAAAATATACTAGGGTGGCCCGAAGACTACCCCTTTTACAAAATACCCGCATCTTTTTATAATAGAGCTTTTCTACCTCGCGGTGAATGTCGGAGTGGCTCTTAGCAATACTGGACAAAACTTCAACTGACTGCTGCCCAAAGCAGCGGCCAATCAGGGAAAAGCATCACTGTCCTCCGATTGGTCGCCGCTCAGGGCAGCTGACCAATCCGCTCATCCAATCCGGGCGGGAAATACAAAGTGCAGTGGGGAGACCCCATTACAGATACCCGCAAACTCCCAGCTTTGTCCGGCTCCGCTGTAAGCAGAACTGGAGCATGCTGGGACTTTGGATCTCCACTTGTCACGGAAGTAGGAGTGAATTTGAGAGGGCTGAGCAGACCTGTAATTTTTTTTAAACAAATTGGACTTTAGTTGCCGGTCAATCGTTTTAGAGGACTAAGTTTATACAAATAAACAAGTTCAAATATACAGAAAAATTAAGTAGCAAAGAATGAACATATTACCTTTTAGAAGGTATGAGCTAGTACTTAACCAAAAGTTGACACGAATTATCATAGAAAAAGTTAAAAATTTTAACAGAGGAGAAGTTGACAAGACTTATCATAGTAGAAATTGAAAAAATTAACGAAGGCAAATTTATCACCCTTTTTTCTTCTAAAAAATTACGTTTAAGTGTACAAAAAAAATGATATCAATAGCATATCAAAACTACAAACTTGCAACTGAGGAAAAAGTAGACAATACCCAAGTAGCAGTGATCGCGCTAAATTGCGATCTAATCGGAGAATGTACCGCGATTTTATCGTCGTCGATTTATTGCAATATTATCGGATAAAACATCGCGATAAATTGCAATTTCATCGCATTAAATTGCAATAAAATCGCGATTTTATCGACGGCGATTTATCGCGATTTTATCGACGGCGATTTATCGCGATGAATTGCGCTTTAATTGCATTAAATTGCAATAAAATTTTGATTTCATCGAACGAGATTTTGTAGAGATAAAATTGCAATTTCTCATCAACGCCTAATAACGCATGAATGGCGCTTATGAAAGATGTTCTTTAGCGGTGGGGTAAGAACGATTCGATACGAGGTTGGGCGTAGGGTTTGGATGGTGGGAGGTACGCCCACACTGAGGAAAAATTCTCGGCGTTTTAACCAAGGTCCGTTAGTAGGTAACTTTACCATCTCACTTTTTTTACCAATTTTTGGTAATGTTACCAAGAGAGATTGGTAGGCTTACCTAAAAACCGGTATTTTTACTGTTTTTTTCAGGTAGGAATATGTACCACTTTTATTGATAATCAACTTCCGGTAACTTTACCCTTTTATCTCGGTAATTCTACCACAGTCGATAAAAAATGTTGGCGTTTTTACCGAGGTCCATCGGTAACTTTGCCATCTCACTATTATTGGTAATTTTACCGAGACAGAAATATGAGATTACCAATAGATTCTTATTTTACCAACCGTATTTCAAGGTACGAAATAAAATACAGAGGAGGGAAAATAAAAAAAAAAATTCCAATGAAAACTCGGTGTCAGTCAACGCAATGACAAAAGTTGTAAGGTTGCAAAGCGCCGATCCACGTATAAGAGGCTTCAATTCGCGCTCGTTAGTCATATAGCGACCATAGCCTAGTGGCAATGTGCTGGCCTACCATCGCTGCGATTGGGGTTCGAATCCCCGCGGAGGCTCCGGGGATTTTACGCTCGTCTTTGTCAAAGGACCTGACGGCTGAACCCAACGGCTATCGGCTAACAGTGTAAACCCCTTTTTTTTGCGATTTTATCGGTGATAAAATCGCTAGGATCATCAACATCTGAGCGACTGTCCTCGATCTTATCGCAATTTTTTCGGGCCGATAAAATCGCAATAAAGTCGCGAAAAAATTGAGGATAATCGCTCAGATGTTGATGATCTTAGCGATTTTATCGCCGATAACATCGAGGATAATCGCGATTTTATCGGCGATGAAATCGCGAAGTTTCCGTTGAAAAATGCTACTTGGGTGAATGTACAGAGACAGTTTTTTTAATTTTTTTTTTCACCACCGTTGTAAAAAGGTATGTCAACTTCGCCTGAAACACGAACAGAGTTTCGGAACATTCGTTTTGCCGTGATACTAATTTAAATGATTTAAGAGCTGGGGTAATTAAAGCCCTCATTCCCATACCGTGAAAAGTATTATTACCATCGATAGTTTTTAAATTAAGATGCACGTTATTAGCAATGAATTGCGTGAAGTGATGGGGCTGTAACTGATCTAAATGGTTTTGAGACATAGGTAATTGCAGCATTTTTCTCATAATTTAAAATTTCCGTATACGAGACGCGAAACCCATTTTATGCAGAATGTATATATGAGTTTCCTTGAGGGACATAAATGATACATCTGGACACCTAAAACAACCTAGAAAGGAAGTAACGACACTCTTGGCCTCAGCATTTGGATGATGGCATGGCCGGTGGAAACTTATTTTGAAGCTCATTTTGCTTTTCGGGCACCACCTGATGTATCTGTATAACTTGATGCATATGTATCCGGGCGGCGCTCAAGCCAGGACTCAAGCATAGGAGCGACCCATAACCAACTCCATATAGAATGCCTAGAATGCCTCGTGTTTCATGTAGCAGAACCGTGAAAGCCTCTTTATTGTATTTTCAATAAAACCCCAGTCTGTCATCTCAACAATATCATTGTGCTTATTCTCCCGTTTTCCCCCCGAAACTATACACAAATCATGGCGCAGTCGTACGTGATCGTTTCTTAGTGCATTATCGTTACCTTACTCGTGTCTCGTGTACGTTCCAACCTCAAAATGGAATTCAGACTTTATAATAAACCTGAACCTCTCTCTCTTTCGGGAAATGTGCGGGACAACTGGTTGAAATTTAAATCGGAGTTCGAGGACTTAATGATCGGAAACGAATGGGATCAGAAATCCGATAAAGTTAAAAGTGCGAAACTCAGAAACTTCATAGGACCTGAAGGCCGACAGCGAATCAAAGCGCTTGGACTCGATAAATCTGAAGATTATAATGAACTAATTAAGAAACTGGATGAGTGGGCAGAGCCCCAGAAAAATGTGGCCATCGAGCGTTTAAAATTTAACAGCAGAAGCCAAAATGTTGGTGAGTCTTTCGATGAATTTAGCTCAGACCTAAAGAAGCTCATCATACATTGTGATTATGGATCTCTCAGAGATGAAATGTTACGAGACAAAATTATGATGGGAGTGGCACACCAAGCTTTAAAGGAGTACTTGTTCCGGATGGCGGAACCAACACTAGAGAAAGTGGAGAAAACATGCAAGGCGGTGGAAGCAGCTAAGACGAACGTGAAGCTGGCAGCTAAGTCACAAGAAGAAGTACTAGTACAGGCAATCCACAAGAACCCAGAGAAAGAGCAACGCAGTGAATCCAATCAAGGTAAATCCAACGCTAACAACATACGACAACAAAATAATGATGTACACGCAAACTTTCAAGGTAATGTCAATTACATTCCCAATAGTGATGTTAGATATAATCCCAATAGCAGTGCTAACTTCAGTTCCCCGAACGTTTATGGTGTCGCCAGTTATAACCCAAACAACAATGTAAACTATAGGTACAATAATGCTAACTACAATCCAACTAATCAACAACATTTCAGACCAGTTGAATACCCTTCGTTTCAAAATATAAATGTTCCGGGTCAATCTAATCAGTCTCAGATGTCACAATACCCCTCTCAAATGCAAATGGTTCAATATCAACCTAGAATGCCCAATAGTTTTACTAATGTATACAGATGTAAAAAATGCAACAGAGATCATGTTAGAGGTCAATGCCCAGCACATAATCAAGTTTGTAGAAGGTGCGGGGGCCTACATCATTTTGCAAGAGGGTGTCGAGTTAAACCTAATGTACCTGCAACACCTAAACATCAAAGTAATACAGATTCTATACAGAAAATTGTAGATGCTGTTAATCAGGATTCAGATTTAGTGCACTATAGTCCTAAAGACTTTCATTTCAGCATAGACCATATGACAGTTTCTGTGCCAGACAACGCTCTAAAAACAAAATTTCCTTGTGAAAGCCCAATTGTCAGTAAAATGAATATAGCAGAAAGCCCCGATAAATCTTTAGAAACCTTTGCAATATCCAACAATGGTAGAAAAGAATGGAGGCAGGTCATACAAATTGAAGGCATCCCAGTTGATTTTAAGTTGGACCCTGGTAGTGAGGTCAATACGTTACCAATGAGTATTTTCAATAAAATGAAAGCCAAGCTGGAGAGCACAGGTCAGACTTTACGGGGAATAGGTCACACAATTGTGAAGCCATTAGGTGTAGCTGAGCTTAATGCAATGACACCATGGGCTAAAGGTCAATTTCCTTTTTTCATAACCAAAGATGAAGAAACCAAAGCATTGTTAGGCATTGAGGCATGTCAAAGCCTAGATTTAGTTGTAAGAAAACTACACTCAATTTCTGTAATTGATGCTCAGTACAGAAAATTCATATATGATAACAGAGACTTATTTGAAGGTTCTGGCAGAATGCCTGGTAAGTTGGTGTTACAAATTAATCCAAATGTTCAGCTAGATGTGTTACCGCCAAGGCATTATCCAATAAAACTGTCAGAGAAATTTGTTCAAAAACTAGAAAGCCTAGAAATGAGAGGAATTGTGGAGAAAGTACCGCCAAATGAAGCAATCTTGTGCGTCAGTAATTTATTGGTAAGAGAAAAAGAAGATGGAGACCTAAGATTATGCTTGGACCCTCAGAACTTAAATAAGTGCCTTGTGCCAAGAAAATTTTCACTCCCCACCTTGGAAGAAATAGGTGCTAAATTAGCTAATAAGAAATGGTTTACCATTTTTGATCAGAAAGAAGGTTTCTATCACTATGAATTAGATGAATTTTCCAGCAGGCTATGTACTTTTAATACCCCGATTGGTTTGTATAGATTTAAAAGACTCCCATTTGGAATAAATGGTGGATCAGAGTATGCACAAGAACGTAACACAACAGCGTTTAAAGATGTTGAAGATCTTTTAATTTTTATTGATGACTTCATCATAGCATCTAAAACTGAAAAGGAACATGATGAAACAATAACCAAATTTGCAAACGTCGCTAAGGAAAACGGTGTTAAATTTAAACTGGCAAAATTCCAATATAAAAAACCATCAGTTAAATTTGTAGGTTTCGTTTGGTCTGGAGAAGGAAGAGAAATAGACCCAGATAGAGTAAGAGCTCTCTATGCGATAAAGGATCCCACGAACAAAAAAGAACTCATGAGTATTTTGGGATTCATCAATTATGTTAGAGATTTTGTACCTAATTTGTCAGGAGATTCAGCTCCACTAAGAGAGTTATTAAAGAAAGATGTAAATTTTGCGTGGAACTCTTATCATGCTAAAATTTTACAGGAAATTAAAGATAAAATTGCGGCAGCATCCGCCCTGTGTAACTTTGACCCAACGAAACAAATAACACTTCAATCGGATGCTTCGAAATCAGGTTTAGGTGCCTGTCTCATGGCCGATGGAAAACCAGTTGCTTATTTTTCCAGAGCTTTAACTGAAACTCAACGCACTTCATGGGGCCAGATAGATAAAGAATTCTTTGCTATTGTATCTGCTCTAGAGAAGTTCTATCAATATTTGTATGGCAATGAAGTAAAAGTGGAATGTGATCATATGCCAATTATACATTTAGTTAAGAAGCCAATTCACAAAATTAAATCCAATCGCTTAAAAAATTTTTGTCAAAGATTGTATAACTTTAGAATTAGAATAATCTTTAAGCCAGGCCGCAAAATGGTCATCGCGGATTTGCTATCTAGACAGTATTTAAATGATCCAGTGCAAGATGACCCAGAATTAGACAATTATGTTCATTCATTAAATATAGAAGAATTAGATACTCAAAATGATCTTCAAGAATTCCAAACTTCAACTAAAGATGATGCGGTCTTAACACATCTCAGAGAATACCTATTAAATGGTTGGCCTGATAGGAAGGAATTGTGGCCGGACGAGTTAAAACCCTTCTGGAAAATTAAAGATAGCCTATATCTAAGTGACAATAGCATAATATATTATGATGACAAAATTGTTGTTCCGTCTAATCTCCGTCACAAAATTCTAGCGCTTCTTCATAAAGGTCATTTCGGCATCACAAAAACTATGATGAAAGCTAATGAATTATATTACTGGCCAGGAATGGCAACTGAAATTGTAAACTTCTTGCGTGCTTGTACAGTCTGTGAAAAATTCTCACCCAATAACAAAAAGCAAAAATTGTTACAAATTCCATTACCTGAAAATGTATTTGAAGTCATAGGTCTTGACTTTGCTGAAATGGGTAAAAGTTACTTAATTTTAGTAGATTACTTATCCAAATGGATGGAGATCTTAGAAAGATCCTCACATTCCGCTCAATCAGTTATAACAGCCTTAAAACCAATATTTGCAACTCACGGTTACCCAAAAATTGTAATATGTGATAATGTACCCTTTGATGCAGCAGAGTTCAAAAAGTTTATATCTGACCATAATGGTAAGGTGGTAACTACCAGTCCTTGTTATCCACAGGCTCATGGGATGATAGAAGTATATGTAAGAATTGCTAAAAAGATTATTTTAAAAAGTTTGGAAACCAAAACTGATTTATATGAAATGTTACTAGAATATAGAAATATGCCACTAGCCAGTGTAAATGTTAGCCCAGCCCAAATTTTACTAAGCCGCAGGCTTCGCAGCAATCTACCCATTGATTCAAGGTTACTGAAACCCAAAATTTTAAATTATAGAACAAGAATGGAAGAAAACCAAGTCAGAGTTAAAGAACTGTATGATAGACATGCCCCAAGAGCCCCACAAAGTTTTCAAAATGGGCAAATTGTTGCAATTAAGCAAGGGAAATTTTGGGAGAAAGGAACCATCTTAAACCATGCGGATACCCCAAGATCCTATTGGATAAAATTAAACAATGGAAATGTAATCAGGCGTAATGACTTTCATATAAAAGTTTCGAGTACTTCTACTCCAGCCCATGATCAACGACACAATTTTTTATTTGATCCAATAGAACAGGATAACCTCCCTGAACAACCTGCGGATAATCCGCAACCACCTATGATTCAGCAAAATTTACCAACCGAACGTCCAATGCGTGATCGGAAACTGCCGGTCTGGATGGCTGATTATTGTTAAGTTCATTATACTTGTAACTTCTAATAAAATTTTCAAGGGACCATATTAAGTAAATCCCATTCTCTTCATTCACATTCAATTCTCAGTATCACTTAATTAAAACTCAATAAGAGTAACCAGTATTTCTTTAAAAAATGTTCTGTAATCAATACTATGTAATGTTAAAACTTTCAAATGAATAATCTGTAAACTATTCTATAAATACTCTCATATGAGTATCTAAATGATAAGTAAATTTTCAATACTGTTCTCTAATCCCGACGCTATGATGCTAAAAAAGAAAAAAGGGGGGATGATGTATCTGTATAACTTGATGCATATGTATCCGGGCGGCGCTCAAGCCAGGACTCAAGCATAGGAGCGACCCATAACCAACTCCATATAGAATGCCTAGAATGCCTCGTGTTTCATGTAGCAGAACCGTGAAAGCCTCTTTATTGTATTTTCAATAAAACCCCAGTCTGTCATCTCAACAATATCA